GTCTGTTCTTTTGGCAGTCCGCAGGACTCAACATTCCTCACCAACATCACAATTCAACAACCCACTGCCATCAAGTCCACTCCGAGTGACCCCGATGGGTTTCCGAGACTCATTGTTGACAGGAGTAGTAGAAAGCCCCGTCTTTCTACCGCAGGGACTGCCAACCATGCTGATCGCAGCCCAACGTGTGGCCACCATCCCACCAAAATTAGAACACATCAATTCGTCTCCATGCTTCCTTGCTCCTTATCCAGCGTTCACATGGACGAGGCAAGTGACTGTCACAAGGATTGGGCCAGGTGCACCTTCGACTTCAAAGTGGAGGTCTTGGGCAGCAGATTTTCCCAGGACAATACACTGTCTGGTTTCTTGATGCTACTTCCAAAGGGGTTGACTATGATGATGAGGGATTGTGCCACCTAGACACTCCCGGGCAGGGCTAGGGGCACAGACCAACCCATCAATCAGGCCACCGTTCGATGACACCGCCTCAGGGATTGTGGCCTTTTGGATAATAGAGACCGAACAAAGTCAAAGTCTCGTTGGCTCTTCGCCTTCCTCCAGCGCCGGATCTTTTATCTGGCACGCCAATCTCCTGTTGCATCGCCTGCCGATTCCAGGAGCTGTCAGCGGACTACCGATTGTAGACTCATTCGTATCCACTCTGCATTTGCCAGCCTTCGCCCCTGCTGTCTCTGCTTCGTCACCCTGCTTCCTGTTCATCAGCTTCCACGAGTCAGGAGAAGCCTGGGTTGAACCGGACTGGACTGACTTATTTCTACAACTGTATCGTAGAAAAATCTAAATCTCTTTCACTGTGCAAACTCATACAAATTTGGTTTCTCTAGAGAACCCAGCCTAGCACAACATGGACCCAAGTACAACACAAAATCCTTGATAGTTTTCTTCTTTTCACTGTTTATCATCATATTGCTTATCCGTCCAGCCGTGAGGATTTCTATTTTTAAATCGTTTTGTTGACATATAGTTCACACATCATACAATTCAGTGGTTACACATCTTGAAGAGTTGTACAGCTATCACACAATCATTTTAGAACATTTTCTTTATCTTGTACTCATTGTTAGTTACCCATTTCTATGCAACCTCCCCTAAGAAATTATGAATCCACTTAATGGTCTCTATAGCTTTACCTATCCTGGATTTCATATACCATACATACTTGAGTACAAGCCAAGCTGAATATCAGCTGAGGCACCCAGTTTTACCACAAAAACTACATTAAAAGTGTGCTGAAAAACTCAGCAAATACATGAGTATATACGGTAACTTGCTTTCTTTGCACCGAGTTGTATCCCAGACGGCTGTAGTCTTCTGTCTTTACCAATAAATGTTTGAGTCCTCTAGGCTTTCAATAAACAAAGTTGTATCATCTGCATATCTAGTCCTTCGCCTCGTTCTTCATATAGCTCAGCTTTTCAAATTCTTTGCTCAGCAGTTTAAGTATGATGAAAGGATATGACCCTGACACATACCTTTCCTAATTTTAAACTGATTTACAGCATTCCCTGGCTCTGTTCAAACAACTACTTCTTGGTCTATGTATAGGTGTTGCATGAACACAATTAAGTGTTCTGGAATTCCCAGTCTTCAAAATATTATCCATAGTTTGTTATGATCCACATAGTCAATGCTTTTGCTTATTCAACTATTAAGGGTATGGGTGTCGGGGTGTGTGTGTGTGTGTGTGTGTGTGTGTGGTGAACTCAAGGGACCAAAGCTGACGCCCTCAATCCTGCTCTGTCAAGAGAGGTCCTGTACACTGCATGTGAGCTCCCTGGCTTGCTAAGCCCTTGTATGGGGTTTGGGGAAGGTTGGGGAAGCCAGGCTGGTTTACTGTGTACAGGACAGAGGAGGTACTTTTGAGCCTGGCCAAAGAGGGCAACAGGATCCGCTCCTATCTTCAATATTTCCTGAATATCTGTTCTGTGCTAGGCCGAAAGGGAAGTAAGATAGTGACAGAGCTTATCGTGATAGAGCTGGCCAAAATCAAGAGAGAGAGGCAGGTGAGGCTGGGTGCTGTGTAGGGCAAAGGCGAGATCAATTTACCTCCTGTGGGTAGGGCACAGCACAGGAGGTTCTAGAGAGAAAAGAAGTGCTTAGGCGGCTTTCAAAGCCGTTACTAGAGGACATGTCATCTACATCCTCTCTTCTGCCTCCCCTGCAAAATCCTCAATTACGCTTTCATTGCTCACTAGAGAAAGCCCGGAGGAGGCGGAAACAGCTGATATCTGGGTTATAGCTGCTGGGAGAAAGTTGTTATAAGCGGCGCTGGGTGGGGGTGGGGGGAGTCCTTCTCCACTCTTGTGTGCTACCCACAAGGAAACTTTACAACGCATGCAATATTTAATGATTATAAATGATACCCCCATGCACCACACAGTACCAGGCTCTTTAAAATGGATATGAATTAAAGAGCATTGCTAGCAAGCATGTTAACAGAAGGGAATGGGGAATTACCCAAGGCAGGAAAAGGGGTCATATCTTAAGTTGGGAGCTAGATCTGATCGCCATCAGCTCGTTTGTGCTTAACTTATCAAACCAGTGATTCCTCAGCAAGTGCACCTGGTTCTTTCTTTTACAAGCGAGTGCTAGGTCAGGTGTGGGGAGCAGGGGCCCACTTCCTGACTTCCAGTTTTCCACTTTTATCCTGTTGCCCTTTTAAAACATACTCACACACACACCATTTAAAAGCAGCGGCCTCAAAAGCAATCAGCCACCAACCCAAAGAAACAAAAACGAAACGATCACTTTGCCCGAATAGCAGGAGGGCAACGAATCAGGCTCTGTTGGAATTTACCTACACTAAATTGGGACTTTGGGGGTAACAGAGATGGTGCTTCACTCCCCGTGCCTCTCTCTGAGATTTGTTTACTGTGTACACCCTGGGGTTTCTGCATCTTATGTCTACTGATTAGAAAGATATATGGTTGTTTATTAATGCTCTCAAAGCACTATGCAAATTCACATCACCTTGGGTATATTTTGCCCCTAAAGCTACGAAGCAAATATGGAAGCGTTTTGTAGTTAACAAGTCTAAAATATGTTAATTTAAGTGCTCTGCTTTTAGTAGAATTCCCCTTTAAATCATTTATGAGAAAATGAGGAGCGCTTGGGTGGCCAAGCATGAAATGTAAATGAGGTTTATTTATTTATTTATTTTTGTTTCCTAGACATTTGTTATTTGATGTCACCTGGTGTTCATATTTCAATTTGGTATTGCCGAAAATGACCTTACACGTTTCTGTACCATGAAACATTGCAGCTTATGGCCCAGATTTTTTAAAGGCAGTGTTGAAACTATACTTTTTAAGTACCATTTTTATGTTCGTCCAGGTAGACTAGAGGAACAAATCCATAGAAACTCATATGTGTATGAGAGAGCTTTATATTAGGGGTAATTGTACATCAAGAAAGCATCCCAACCCAGTCCAGTCTAAGCCCCTAAGTCTGATATTAGCCCATAAGTCTGATACCAATCTATAAAATCCTCTTCAGACTTACGAAACACATGCAATGACGCTGAATGCAGGATGATCACAAGCCAGTGGGTGGGAAGTCTTGTGGATCCAGTGGCATCGTAAGCATCTCAATGCTGGTAAGGTCTCCACGTGGCTTCTCCAGGTCCAGGGTTCTGGCTTCATCAGGGGAGGTGCATGTGGCTTCTCCTCAGGGATGTCTCCCAGGGAGTGAGCCAGAAAGAGAAAAAATCCCACCACCTCCCCTCCGCAAGTAGGAAAAAAATAGGATTTCCCAGAATCCTCAGGAGAAGGCCATGCCCACACGGAGGCCTCATTGGCTATGACCCTGACAGGCTAGATTCCACCCCTTCTCTCTTAATCCTCTCAAGTTCCAAATTGACACCAGATTATGTAGCGACCACAAATTTCCAGTGGCACAGGGAAAAATTAGACATTTTGAAGAGTGAAGTCAGAAAAAGGGCTGCACTGCCCTTTATCTCTAGTAGAAAACCCCCCACAATATATAAATAGTATCTATTAGAGCAAAGCAGAGATACACCTCTAAAAATCCACACTCAGTGCCATCGAGTGGATTCTGACTCAAGCGAGCCTATAAGGCAGGGTAGAACTGGAACTGTTTCTGCAAGTGGACAGCCCTGACATCCGTCAGACACCCCAAGAACCTCTTAAAAGGATATAATATTATTAGAAAAATTCCTGAAGAGCCAACCAATGCCAGAAACATATAAAAGTATTTCTATCCTCTTTTAAGTTTAGGCTTTTTTTTTTTTAAGAAAAGAGAGAAGAAAATAAACTTTGTCACCCTTTTCAGCTTTCCAGTGTTTAATGAGCTTCTTGTGGGAGGATGGCAACCACTTCCTGTTTGAGCCAGTGAGAAGTGCCAAGTGCAGCTATCAGAGGCTCGGAAAAGCAAGGCAGACACTAGAGCAGGGTTTACATTCGTTCCACCACCAGAAAGAGACTTTCTACGAAAGGACAATTAAAAACCCTACTTGGGCTAACCATATTAACCACAATGACCTCCGTAAAAACGATGAACATAATAAGCTTCTCAATTCAAGTGTTCCCTGCCACCCAGCCCTATGGGGCAGAGGAGATCTGCCCAGGTGGGTCTCTGAAACTGCCCTCTTTATGTGTGTGTATAAGGCCTCCTCGTTCTCCGCGGAGCAGCGGGAGGTTTCGAACTGCTGACCTTGTGGTTAGCAGCCCAGTGCATTAACCACTAACCACCAGGGCTTCTCATTGTGGTGATGCCACTCCTTAAATTTGTGTTTAAAGGCTCAGATTATCACACATTTCTAGCAAATTTATACCAAACAACAACAAAAAGCAAATTAATAGAGTAGCTGTGGGTAAAACTCTTAAGTTGATGCCAGCTTTTCAAAGCATCCCACGAGTTGGTCTGGTGCAGATTGTAGAGCGATCTAAACCTAGGGCAAAGTTAGGTGGTGATCCCAGTGAGGACCAGCATTTGAAGTACACGCTCAAGGAGCAGCGATGGCGCAGTGGTTTAAGCTCTGGGCGGCTAGAACCTGCCAGCCGCTCCGCGCGCAGGTGAGGCTTCACGGACAATCCCAGCCTCGAAAAGACCAGGGGACAGTAGTCCTCCAGCCCTTCGGTGTCACGATGAGTCTCAACTAGCTTGATGGGACTCGCGAGTGGATTCTGGTCCCGGACTGAGGCTGGGGAGGAGAAAGCCCCACCTGTCTCCTGCAGGGCGGCCGGTGGGACCACTGATCGGGGCTGAGCAGCCCGGCGCAAACCCCGCCGCGCCACTTTGGGAAGGGAACAGTAAGAGTAATAATCTTTCGGAAATGCATCTCTATGTTCGCAAGACCCGCTGCCACGCAGGCGATCGTGACGCCTGACCCCGTAAGAGGGAGGTTTTCCGAGAGAAATGTGTGCGGTGAACCCCCGCCCCGGCCTGCAGCAAGCACACCTCGCCCACCGCGCGCGCACAGGCTGGAGCGAGCCTAGGAATGGGCACCTCCACGCGCGCGAACAGCCAGCACGCGGCCGGCCCTTCCTGAGAACATTCTGGAAGCGTCTGCAGGCTCGGCCGCTTCCCCGGGGAAGCGAAACCTGATTCAGCGGGGGCCGCCCCGTGGGGCGGAGACAATGGTTTTCCCCTGGAAGGTTCTCCAATTGCAATGGCCTGACTGAGAACTACATGACTCGGGAGCCTTAAGTCCGCCGACCGTTGGAAATCACTCCGCCAGTTTTTGAAGTTGAAAAACAACAAAACCCACCTCTGGGGAGGCGGGAATAAGAGTTTGCAAATGAATCCCCCCACGCTTCAACCCACTTCTATGACATCCAGGTGATAGTGCTGCGTGAAGAATGTGGTGAACCCGATCCCTTTGCCCCTAATTGCAACCCCAAGGCACAGACTCGGGGCTTTTCCACATTTTGCACCCTGCAAAAAAGGAGGGGAAAATGCAAGCGCGTCCGTAGTTCCGGGACATAGTGCGCAGCCACTTTGCTACAAGTGTATCCACTGTCCCGCACCGAGGCCTTATGGGGCTCCGCTCCTCCCAGCTTCACTTGCTCGGCGGCTCTTGGACGAGGCGGAGGCTCTACCAAGCTGGCCGACAAGATGCTGCGCACCCCCAAGTGTTCCCGCTGCCGGAACCATGGCTTCCTGGTGCCCGTCAAGGGCCACGCGGGCAAATGCCGCTGGAAGCACTGCACCTGCGAGAAGTGCTGCTTGATCAGCGAGCGCCAGAAGATCATGGCCGCGCAGAAGGTGCTCCACAGACAGGGGTCCGAGGACGAGGAGCTGGCCCCGGGCGCCCAGGGGCCTGAGCTGGCCACTCCAGCAGTGGCCTCGGCCGCCTTCGGGGGCCCAAGCCTGGGCCCGCTGCCACCCACTGCGTCTGCAGCCCCGGAGCCCCGAGCCCACGACCCCCAGTGTTACGCCGAGAGGCCGCTGCACGGGCTCAGCCCGGGCCCCAGCGCCTTCCACCCGGTGGTGGTGAGCGGCCGCAACCACGTGGGGCCGAGCGAAGGCGCGGCGGCCGCCGTGTCCACGGCTATGGGCCCCGCGCTGGAGGCGGAGGCCGCGGGCAGCGGAGGCCCCGGCCGTCTGGAGGTGCGCAGGCCTCTGCGGCCAGTGCCCAGCCAGCCGTTCCCCGACTTCGGTAAGATACCCACGCCCGCCGGGCCTTTGCTGTCCTTCTGGGGGGTACCCTCTCTGCACCCTTACAGTGGCAGCCCGGGCCTGCGGGGTCGGGAAGGGGTGGCGGTGGGGACAAAGCTTTCCACGGGTAACTGTAGCTGGAGAAGCCCTTTTCTGACTGGTTTGAATGCCTTTTTGCCCAAAGGGAAGCCGTGCGGCTGAAAACAATTGAGGGGTCCCGGGTGCTTTTCACATGTAACTAGGTTTTGCTTCTCCGTCTTGGAAGAGAACATGGCTCCCACGCCACGATGCAGCGGCTTCCTCCTCCCTCACGCCTCCGTGGGCTTGCGCACCAGGGTTTGCGCACCCCCTCCCCCTAGGAGTTGGCGGGGCTCAATTTATACTGCGCCTACTGCGCCTGCGCATCCTTTCCTACCGGATAGGCTGGAGGCTCCTCCCAGAGGACCGCCCCTCTGGGGCGCTCTTGTCCAATGAGCCTGCACACTCCTTCCCGCTCTTTTCCTGGGGACTTTTTCATAACTGGGCTCCGCCCTCCAGGCTTCCTTGCAGGTGGCGCCTGCGGGCCTTTTCCCGTGTACTGGTGGCTCCTCCCAGGGGGCGTCCCCTTAGAACAGCCCTATCCCAAAGCGCATGTGCGCATCTTCCCGCCCTTTTTCTGGGTTTGGAGGGGAATGCCGCGGTTTTTGGCGCAGTCGGAAAGGAGGTGGTTGGTTTGTTGAGTTGCTGCCTCTTGCTCCCTCCACCTTGCGCATGAATTCTATTGCTTACTTAATTGCTTTTTTTAGGAGTGAAAACACAGTTCCAATTTACGTATAGATCTGAAGCTTAAATGAAAACAAGTTTTTTTGGTGGTGGGGGACGTGCAACCTAAACAGACCTGAATTAGGCTAGGTGGTAGGTTGCTCACTGTGCCCCTTACACAGGCTGCTTGCCTCTCTAAGTCTCCCCTCCGTGAGAGGATTGGCCAGGATCCTCATGGAACACCAGTTCTGCCTTCTGAGATATTCTAGAACAATCTGGGTCCTGAGGGAGCAGCTTTTTAATGGGGCAGACCAACCGGAAGCAGCGGTTCTAGGAGGACACAGTGCCTTTCTGTGTGGACCCTTAGCAAACAGACACCTGGCTTTTGTCCAGATGTTCCTTTGTGCCACAAGGGGACTGGGGGTGAGGGAGAACCACATTTATGCACTCAGGGAGCTTGTTCTAGTAGGAGGGACAGCCACACAGAGCAACAGACAACGCTGTCATAATTGGCGCTCTAATGGAACTCTAAAGGCAGAGGCGGACTTCTGGGAGGAGCCCTGGGATTGGGAGTTGGGCTACTAATTGCAAGGTCAGCGGTTCGAAATCACCCGACACTTCAGAAGAAAGACGAAGCTTTCTACTCCAGTTAAGAGTCTCAGATCCACAGAGCGGTCAGTTCTACCCCGTCCAACAGGGTAGCATTTTGAGTCCAAGAATGGACTCCTGGGCAGTGAGAGAGCTTAAAGGAGGCATGTTGAGGGGACCGTGTCTGCCAAGACTGGACGGGTTGGAGATAAGATCCAGGTTATGGTCCGTGGTGAAGCTGAGTGGACGCCAGAACCAGACCACATTGGGCTTTCCAGGCCAGGCTGGGGACTCTTCTAACAGCAGCGAGATGTGGTTGAAGGTTTAAAAAACAGTGAGGCAATGGGCAACATTGGGGAGCAGTCAGGGTGACAGTTGAAGGGTGTGATGAAGAATAAGTTGATGTCATTGAGCTGTACAGGGGAAGACAGGACAGACGCTGTGTCGTTCGTTACCTTTGTAGACATCGCAAGAAAATATGAGAGAAAGCCCATTTTTTCTCAAAGGCTAGGCAAAGGAGTCACCACTGAGGAAGTTCTTTGCAAATGGCTCCGAGGGATTCTTTCTGCCGCTCTGCCCTGCTCCGTGTGTTCACCATCCTCCCTCACGCTCCTCTCCTGCAGGGCACCCACTGAGCGGGAACCCGGAAGGGGGTGTGGTGCGGCCTGAGTACCTGGAGAGAGACCCTTCCAAGCTGTACCCTGGCATGCGCCCCTACCATCCGTTCCCGATGGGCTACCAGGATGTTCCCCCAACTCCAGGAATCCCTCTGCAGCGAGGCTTCCGGCATATTCCTTGCAACGGCCACCCCGGAGGAGCCCCGGTGAGTCCCCTCCCTGCCTCCTTGATTGATTTTCAGCCCCAGCCCTGGTGGGAAGGGGGGGTGGGGCAGGGCTGTCACTGGTGAGGCGGTGAGCTGAGGAAACCAGACATGTGGCAGCCCCGTGTGTGCAGAGTAGAACTGCGGCTTCCCTGACTCATCGCCAGACCCCCCCTCTCACGGGGCTGCAGGGTGGGTTTGAACCATCAACTTTGAGTTTTGCAGCCGAACACAAACTGCGTGCGACCCAGGGCCCTGCTGATGCTGGAAGAAGCCGGTGACCAGAGAGACCGGCCCCCACCTGGGCCTACATGGTTTAAGGCAGGACCCCTGCCCCAGCCCACAGGTGTGGCCCGTGCCAGGGGGCCGAGAGCTGAGCGTCTCCCCTGGGCATCTTGAGAGGGGCTACTTGGTAGGGACCAAGATTAGAAGATGAGAGGTTGATGTGCACATAATGCCGAGTCATCCCCCACAGAGTGGAGCCAGTCCTATGGGGCTCCTGCTGAGCCCTGGTGGGCCAGGCCCACGGCCCCGCCTGGGTCCCTCCCCTTGCTTCAGCCCTAGCAAGGCCCCTGCCGCTGGTTTCCGATGTTAGGCTTTAGCTACGTCGCTTCCCACTGGTTCACCCAGGAAAGTAGGGGGCCCTCGGGTTTGGGGTTGGCAGGGTGCCTGCTGAGTCCTGTGAGCCTTCAGTGCCCTTGTCTTTACTCCGCTCCAGGGTGGAGCAGGCAGACACAGAAAGACGTGTGCAGTGACGCAGAACTGGTGCGTGATGCGCTATGGCTAGCTGTGCCCCTCTTGCGCCCTAACACCAGTGCCCCAAGGGCGTCTCCTGCAGAGGCTGAGCACATAGTGGCCCTTCTCTGGTGCCTGCCCTGCCTGAAATCTGGGTGCTGCCTTTCTCTGCCTGACCACCCCATTGCCTGAAATCTGTGGGTGCTGCCTTTCTCCACCTGGCCACCCTGTGGCAGCCTGGGGCAAGCGCAGCGCCTCCAGCCTCCTCCACACAAAGAGAGGCGCTGGCCAGGTGGAGCCCATGCCGTCTGCTCTCACGGAAGCCTGGCGCCTGGCGTCCAGGGCTGGGCTCTGATTGACGGGCCCGCCAGACGGCCTTTGTTAGGAGTGTGATCTCAGGCGCTGTATCTGGGCCCGAGCTGCCACCACGGGCCTCCAGCAGGAGCTGTGATCCAGGGAGAGAATTGGCCGAGCAGCTTGGAATTAAAATGCTAATAATTGCCCACCCCCTCAGTGTCTGGACAGAGGAGCCGGCGTTTGTCAGACTCTCGAGTCCAAGAATGACTTTGGTTCTTGTCCCACTGCCGCCGCCCAAGCAAGGGCCGAGATACTCTCCCGAGACAGCGCCGGCCTTCCTCCGTCCTGGCCCGCCCTCCTCACCGAGAGCCGGTCAGGAGTGGGACAGACCTGGGGCCAAGCCTGCTTCCATTGGTGACTCGCCTGGCGACCCCACTCAGGTTCTTAAGACCTGCAAGGCGGTGGAGAAGTCCACCTAGGGCTTTGGAGTTGATGGACACTGTCGGGGTAGCATTGGACTGCTAACTGCGAGGACAGCTGTTCAAACCCACCGGCTACTTGGCTGGAGAAAGAAGAGGCAATCTGCTCCCCCTTAAAGTGTGGTCTCCGAAACCCTCTACGAGGTCACTCACTGAAGCAGCAACGAGTGGACAGGGGTGGGTTTTAATGGGTGTAGAAAGCCGAGCGCGCTCTGGCACACGAACACTCACTGCCATCGAGTGGTTCCCGGCTCAGACCCTGTCGGACCGGGCAGAACTGGCCCTGGGGGACCCCAGACTGGAGCTCTTTGTCGGACTAGAAAGGAGCCCTAGTGGTTTCAAACTGCTGACCTTGTGGTTCATAGCCCAGCATGTGACCCCTACCCACTAGGCCCCCTTTCTTCCCCTGCCTGTGACCTAATGCGGTTAAGGAATGCTGGGCTACATAAGGACACATTTTGGCATGCTCAGAGCGCACCCCTTTAAAAAATCACTTTATTGGGGGCTCTGACAGCTCTTCTAACAATCCACACGAGCACACGTGCACGTTGTTGCCATCGTCATTGCCACACGTCTTTCTGCTGGAGCTCTTGGTATCTATCCACGCCTCTTTTCCCCTCCCGCCCCACCCCCACCCTCGTGGCCCCGTGATAAATTTAAAATTATTTTCATATCTTACACTGTCTGCGGTCTCCCTTCACCCGCAATTCTGTTCATCCCCTGTGTTGATCATTCTAATTGGTTCCCCCCTCCTCTCCCCAACTTCCCCCACCGCCTGGTGTCACCACTCTGTCCCTGGGATAACCCATTCCTGTCCCCGAGGGGTTTATCTGACCTGGATTCCGTGTGTCCTGAGCTGTTATCTGTACCAGTGGACATGCTCCAGTCTAGCCAGAACTGAAAGGCAGGACTTCTGGGGTCATGATAGGGGGGGGTGAGGAGGCCTCGAAGAACCAGAGGAATAGTGTGTGCTTCATCGGTGCTCTACTGCACCCTGGTTGACTCACCCTCCCTTGTGACCCTTCTGTGAAGGGTCTCCCATTGTCTATAGATGGGTTTGGGGGTCTCTGCTCTGACCCCCTCATTCTCATACATAAAGTTTTTAACGTGCTCTTGTGTAACAACATGGAGCGGCATGCAGGGCTTCTCAAACTCCCGTGACTAAGGATATTTCCTTCCCAGAGCATAGCTTGCTACATCTAGTATTTGTTACTGTTTCTTCATTATTACTGCACTCACTGTATCCCTCAGTTGTATAACGGACACCCCTCCAAACCCTCCTGGTTCAACCTTGGGGTCTGGTATGAGGTAGCTCTCTCTACCGGGAGGAACGGAAACTGCTTTCCCGAGGGCAGGCTGCTGACTTCTGGACTGGCCACCTTAGGAGAGGGCCCCAGAAGGCCCCTGTCCACTCATCCCCGTGCCAGGAAACCGCAGAGCAGACTTTGGGCTGTGGCGTCAGGCATTTCCCTGCCTGAGCCTAGTTTTCCTCCGTGCAGCCAGGGCTGTGCCAATAGAGCTCACCTCACAGGGCTCCGAGGCTCGCTCGAACCTGGCAGCATCCTAAACACAGCTTGTCACACGCCACACAGCACCTGCAGGTGCCTGCATGCTGGCCGTGGCTTCTCTGAGGCGTGCCCATAGTCCTTGCCTTCTGACCTGTGCCTGGGTGCTTTGGGCCACAGGTGGCTCCACCCCATTGGGGATGCATCTCCCCTCATTCAGGAGAGGAGGAGACAACGTGACCGGCTGTCTGGGCTCACACGCCCCCTCTGGCCCCTCCGCTGTGCCCTGCAGGTGCCGGAACCAGTGGGAGACTTCCCGGCCAACTACTACCCTGCGGCCCCACCGCCACCGCCACCGCCGCAGCCCCAGTTCCTCCCCCCAGGCTTCCTCTCAGGGATCCACTTCCTGCCGCCGCTGCCACCGCCGCCGCCGCCACCACCATTCGCACTGACCGTTCTGTCTGATACCAACGGGGCAGCTGCTGGTAAGTGGGCCCCAGTCTTCCAGACAGCCGGGGAAGCCAGGAGGACTCCCTGGAGGAGGAGGAGCCTGATCTGAAGTTTGTGTAGTGGAGGAAGGTGGAGAACAGGATTTCAAGGGCCACGGAGGAAGCTCTTTCCTAGCCTCCCCCCACCCCCACCCCCATGAGCAACCCCCTGATGGAGGTGGTTTCCCATTGGGGGGCTGCTCAGAGGGGAGCCCAGGGCCTCACCATGGGGAAGCAGCCAGGTGGAGCAGCTTTGGCCCGGTGTGGCCTCCTGCCCTAGTTCACTCTGGGGACCCTGTCATCAGGGGCTGTGCCACTGATACACCATGTCCCCTGGACCCGTCTTCTCACTGTGAAGGTCACTCCACCCAGGGTCATTGTGAGGTAGGTCCACGGAGACCGTGTGTGAGGTTTGAGGGCCCTTGTAGTTTTACAAGCTCTAGAATATGTATTCCCTCCCAGCCCTACCCCGGGGCTCCTGCAGTTAGAAAGGGCTGGTGGGTAGCGCTAAGACTGGTGGCTGCAGCCCCTCCAGCTAATGGGCCGAGGCACCCAGCCTGGCAGAGACAGACGGACAGGCAGGGCCCCTTGCAGCAGGAGTTGCAGGGCTCAGAGCAGGAGCTGTTGTGGGACTGAGGGCGGGGCCGGCAGGCCTCTTCCTCCTCCGCCAGCTTCCAGTGAGTGACAGCCCCCGAGGTGATGGCCATCGTAGGAGCCTGCTCCTGGAGGCTGGTGTCATGTCTGCACACCTGGAGGGCGCTCCTTTACACCCACGGCCAGGCTCCTTTACTCCCACCGTCCCTTGTTAGACTGTCTGGGAGCCTGCAGGGGCCCTTCCCCTCTGACAGCAGGCCGTGATGAGAGTCGGCCCTGGAGAGGTTCAGTGTCCCTGCCCCTACCTTGGTCCCCTACACTTAACCTGTGACACCTTTCTCCTTACAGCTGGGTGGGCTGTCCTGGCAGACGTGAGGAGGGCTCTGGCTTTGGAGCAGGATGGGTGGGGTTCGAGGCCAGGTTCCCATGCTTCCTCCCACGGAACCCCAGGGCTTCCTTAGCAGCCAAAGGACTCTGCGGGGAAAGTAACGTCAATAGGTGCAGCACCTGTTGGCCACGTACTTGGGGCAGGTCCTGTGCTGGGGGCTTGCCCCTGGATCCTCACAGCCCCAAGATTCTGACAGCCCGCTGGCGTTCTCAGTATCCACACTTTGCAGGCGAGGAGCGGACTAGAAGGAACTTTGCCGCGGTCACAGCTCGTGAGCAGGGGCGCCTGGATGGTAGGCCCACTGCCAGCCACATCGCCACTCTTTGAGTAGGGGCAGGCGAAGTGTGCATCCTTTCGAGGGTTGCCCAGGGGACGGGAGGTGATGTGCCTGCCCTCACCTCACCCTGAGGAGCAGGTGGTGCAGGGATGCCCTCCGAGTTTTACAGATGCGGTCCCTGGAGGCAAAGCCACAAGTCTGACTCCTGACTGAGCTCTTGCCACTGCCCCGGGCAGTGCTTCCTCCTGGTAGCCAGCACCCCGCTCTGCGATGCTTCCAGGACCCCTGCACCGGTGGGGCCGTCTGTTCTGGTCTGGACATGGGCCCAGAGCTCAGAGACCACCACTGGCCACACGGTGGTGTGGGGGTGAGGTTCCTCTCCCAGACCCGTGCTGGGCTCTCCAGGAGAGAGCGAGCGAGCCAGCAGGCAGCAGTGTTCTGGACACAGTGTTGGGGGTTGGCAGGACCTTGACTGGCAGAGGGGCACCTGCTCGAGAGTCTGGCCCTCTGCCTTCACAGATGCCACTCAAAGGCGAGAACCACCCTGAGATAAACGAGCCTGCTGCCACCTCCCACTGCCTCCTGAGGAGGAGACTGAGACTCAGGGTGGTGCAGGGACTTCAAGCCCACCAGTGGTCAGTGGCCAGTCTCCAGGTGACGCCAGCCGCCACATGCTTGGCTGTGAAATAAAAGGCCGGGGTTTGAAGTCTGCATGGGTGCCGTGGAAGAGAGGGCTGGCAGTCTCCCTCCAGCCATGAGCACGAGGGCACAGTCCTGTCGTCAGAATTGACACAGTGGGGACTGGCCGCTGGTGCTCGGGCGCCAGCCTTGCCCGGCTCAACGGGGCCGGCCTGTCCACTGAGGAAGCTGGAAGGAGTGTGGTGCTCGGGCGCCAGCCTTGCCCGGCTCAACGGGGCCGGCCTGTCCACTGAGGAAGCTGGAAGGAGTGTGCCACCTGCTAGGCCCTCGTTCCCCGAGAAGCACCTAGATGGGCAGTGGAGAGGGTCGTACGTGGCCTCCTGAAGCGCACTGGCCCCGGAGCCCCAAGGTCGGGATGCGACTGGTGCCTCTGTCCACCCCCTGCACCTCGGGCAGTCGTGATGTGGCCTGACTGAGGGCCGGCTGCCGGTCACGGTGCTGTCTCCCTCAGCGGGCCAGCGGGGCTGCTGGAGTCCATGTAACGTGGCGGCCAGCGAGAGAATGCCTGTGCGGCCCAGCAGGCCGTGTGCTCACCTTGCGCCTCAGTCAGCCTCTCCCTTCCCTTCACAGAAAACCAGGACGGAGAGGCGCCCGGGGTGCCCAGCGCCCCCTTTCCTCAGGAGCAGACCGACTGAGAGCAGACCCGGCCCAGGGCCCAGGGGGACGGCGGTGGTTCTTCCCGTCTGCATGGGGGGCTGGTTGGGGACAAGGGGTGTGTTTGTTAGGACCAATAGGTATCAGGTTAGGACAGATTCTTGTTTTGAGATAGGAGAGGGCAGAGTGGTCGTTGAGGAGGTAGACTATCCAGATCTGTTAAGCGGGGCGGGGCTGTTACAACAGAGCTCGCGTTCAGGAATGAATTTAAGGGCCCCTGAGTGCTGCGTGGGTAACCCCCACAGGTGGTCTTTGGTTTCCAGCTGGACAGCCAGCTGCCGCCTTGCCTGCCTCCCAGCAGAGGCGGCACAGTGCGGGGCTGGGCGGCCTGTGAGCAGCAGGGCAAAGGTGCTGGCAGCAGGTTCTGCAGTGCCCTCCTGAACGCCACCCCCCCTAAGAGTTTGAGCAGTTTTAAGCATCGTTGCTAGTTACATAGTCTCGTTAAGTTCGGCTTAGAGGTTTTTATAGTGATCACTAGTTTAGGGACGTGTTTGTTAGCAGTGACCCAGTTCTCAGAAAAGGACGGTGTCCAGTGTTACCCGTGATGCCCACGGCGCTTCTCTGGGCCCGCCGACTTGAAATAAATGCCCACTGCAACTCCTGTGGCCTGTCCGCTCTCTGAAGCCTGCGGTGGGCCGCCTGGGACAGGGGCCTGGGTGGGGAGTTGGGGGCCTGGGGGTCCACCTGCCAGCCTACCTCTACTACACACTTGGGTCAGCCTGGCCAGCAGCTTCCCTGCTGACTACACACAGCTTTCTGGGCATCTTCCCTCCTAAGTCCTGTCCATGGTGCCACAAGGCATGGCTTTGACAGGCAGCTCATGCCCCTCCTGCAGCTCTGGCATCCTGGGCTTGGTCTTGGTCACTTCTATTTTCAAAAGTAATCCTGCATTTTCTGGGTCCAGGGCACGCACTCACAGGCTGCACCTTGGGGAGAATGGGGTCTAGTGGGAGGCCGGCCGGGGGATCTGTGCTGAACCAGGTGGGGGGCTAGGGGTGGCCGGGAAGGCTTCCTGGAGGAGTCATCCCAACTGGTTTAAGGGGCCAGGAGGAGAGGGTGAGGAGGAAGATGGCACCACAGTAGCGGGGCAGGTGACAGGGCTGACTTTGAGAAATGCCATAACCTTTACGTCCGTGCAGGTCAGGAGCCTGTAATGAGAAGCGGGTGCTATAGTTGGCAGTCCAGGATAAAGTCGCCCTCCTGGATGGTTCCAGTGGCCCCCAGTGGGCAGGGTTGCCCTCTGGGAAACACTGATCTAGGATGGGCTGGGGACCTGCTGGCAAGGTTCACAGTTCGAGCTCGCTCACTGCTCTTCGGGAGAAGGACGTGGCTGTCTACTGCAAAGATTGACAGCTTAGGAAACCCTCTAAGCCAGCTCTGCCCTGCCCTGGGATCGCTATGGGCTGGGATCCGCTCATCACAAAGCGTGGGTCAGTTGCCCTTGGGTGAGCTATTTGAGCTCCAGCCCCAATCATTTTGCCTATGAACTAGGAGTAGATGCCCTCCTGACTTCAGCTCACTTGGCCTTAAACACACTTCCACCCAAGGCCCCCGTGGGTGCCCCAGGCGTTAGCGCTCACCCCCTCTGCAGGCTGGATCCCCAGCCTTGGCCTCTAGCTTCTTGTAGTCCTCCCCTTGTCCTTGGGGACAGCCAGATGCCCCTTCCTGCCCGCCTGCCCTCAGCCTGACCAAGAGGGTCACAGAACCCACCCAGGGCACCTGCTTCCACAAGGCCTTGAAAACCCGCAGGTGCAGTTCTGCTGAAGCAGGGTGGCTGTTTGCATGGTGGGGGTGGGGTGGGGTCTGCCCAGGCTCTGCCGCCTTGTGACATGACTTCGTCCCGAGGAGAGTGACCCTCACCAGCCTGTGGCAGTGTAGAGGCCAGGGTTGTCTGTGTGCCCCACTTTGCCTCTGCAGCTCCCAGTGCAAGTTGGGAACTGCCTAGGGCAGCGATCACCTGGTGTCTGCTGTTGACCAGATGGATGGAGCTGGGGCCCTCTTGCGGAATTGGGGGTGGAGGGTTGAGAAGCCCTGGATTGTCTGTTCGAGTCTGCATCGTCTGCCTGGCGTTCCTGTCCAGACAGCATAGTAAATGGGACCTCTGGGGCCTCTGAGAAGCTGCGCAGGGATGAAGGATCGCTCCTAAGGCCCGTGTTTTGGCTCTTGACTCCCTGGCCCTTCCCCTGTGCCAGACGCTGTTTTGCTGAATCCTCAAGGGGTGACCCACACACTGCCTTCCAGTCTGTTCCCTAGGGTCCCCTAGACGGGACCTTTCCAGGAACAGGCCTGTTTCCCTCCCAAGGAGCTGGTGGGTTTGGACTGACCTTGGATACCTAACCCACTCACTGAGCACGCTCCCCTCAAAGCCCCAACCCCAAAACTCACTGCCTTAGAGTTGACTCTAACTCACTGACCGTAGGGCGCAGGGTACACCTGCCTCTAGGTGGGAGCAGGAAGCCTCCATTCTTCGGAGCATCTGCCGGCTTTGAACTGCTGACCTTCCAATGTTAGCCACGGTGTAACCCCCTGCACCGCCGGGCTCCTTAAGTGGGTACCATGGGCCCCCATCATACTGAGATTGGAGGTGAGGCACCCCCCCCCCCACCATCTCCCACAACAGCCACAAACAAATGCCTGCCATTGAGTGGCTGCGAACTCAGTGGCCCTGTGGGCAGAGGGCTGCCCCAGGGGTTTCTGAGACTAACCGCGGAAGCAGAGAGCCTCATTTTTCTCCAAGGAGCAGCTGGTGGGTTCCAATAGGGCTCCTCAGAAGGCTCATGCCTGGTGAAGTGGAGGTACCTCAAAGAAGAGGAAGCCCCCCACAGGAGATGGACTGACACTGTGACATGAGAGCAGTTGTGAGGATGGCCCGGGACAGGTGGTGTTCCGTTCTCTTGTACAGAGGGCCGCTGTGCATCAGAACTGACTTAACAACGCTCTGCAGTGTTATAACCAGGACGGTGACACTGAGACAGCCCACCAAGTTCATCCAGATCCTGCAATATTATAATCAGGACGGTGACACTGAGACAACCCCCCAAGTTCATCCAGATCCTGGCTTAAATGTTATGCTTAAGTCAGTGGTCCATTTGCGTTAATTTTTGTACCGGGCGTGAGGTTTAGGTTGAAGTTATTGCCATCATTCAGCCTGTGAATGTCATGTTGAAAAGGCAAGCCTTCCTCTGTTTAATCATGTACCTTTGTCCCAACCTGATTGGGCACATTATTGTGGGTCTATTTCCGAACTCTCTGGTTCCATTGCTCTGTGTTTGAAACACACATTGGAATCAGACCCCCACGGTCCCCCACGTACCTCTTCCCTTCCACATCAGATCAGGGTTTCAGAGACCTGTCATGGGCCGACTCCCTGTTCATCCGCCTTGAGAAGCCCTCTCCGTGCTTTACGTGGGTAAAATAGGCCGCTCAAGGTCACAGAAAATAAGCCGCTCAAGGTCACAGAGGGCACCAGCTGCGGGGACTGCACCCATCAGGAGAGAGCTGCCCTGTAAGCCCCTCCTACGGGGACTGCTCTATGAGTGCAGTAGCAAGACGGAGCCGTGCGCCAATCGTGGTGGAGAGTCTCACAGTGGGGGTGACATGGCGATGTGGAGATCCCTACAGCTGTGAAATGACCAGGAACTCGCTGCCATTGAGTCTCTGACTCCTAGTGACTCCATAGGACAGACAGACTGGGGTTTCTGAGACTGCCACTTGTTACCAGAGCGGACAGCCTCAGCTCCTCTCCGGAGAGCCGGCGCGCAGCTTCAAACTACTCACCTTGGGGTTGACAGCTCACCTCGTAACCCGAGGCGCCATCGGAGCACTCTCGCTTTGGGGTGCACCGCCCTAACATACGAGGCACTCAGGTAGTTCCCAGTCTTTTGCCACTGCTGCTCCTACGAATTGAATTTGGGATGGCTTCCTCTCACTAAGGAAGGAATCAGAAAGAGTAGAAGAATCGATGAGTTTGAACTGTGGTGCCGGAGAGGAATATACTGAGCACCATGGGCTGCCCAAAGGGCAAACGGGTGTGTGAAGAAGACATGGTCTGACACACTTTGGACATGCTGTCAGGAGAGACCAGCTCCTGAGAAAGACGTCATGGGGGGGGGGGGGCAGCGAGAAAGAGGGAGGCCCTGATGAGGTGATGGACACAATGGGGCGGGTCCTGGCAGTGTTTCCTTCTGTGGTGCAGGGGTCGCGGTGGTTGGAGCCGACTCCATGGCACACAACTACCGCAACAACAACTGCTGCTGCTAGGTGTCCCCCCACCCCCACCCCTGGCACAATGAGCTCCCAGCGCTCCTGGGGCCTTTGCCCGGGCAGCGCCCATCTGCTGAGGGCTGGCGTCTTGGCAAATGGCTTCAGGCAGCCCCTCCTCTGTCCTCCTGGGCTGCCCACCTGCCACCCTGGGACACCCTCTGTCCTGGGCTGCCCACCTGCCACCCTGGGACACCCTCTGTCCCTCGGTGGAGCCCAGG